CACATGACATGTGATCTGTTGGAATGTACAGTTTGTGTAAAGGTGAGTAGTGTACCTAATAAGCTTGTAACTTCTGTTTGGAAGCCTCTCGTATCCAAGAAACAAAACCTCTGTTAAGGAGCGCTGAATCACTAAGCAATGGAAAAAGTAACACAGTCTGATATGTTGTTTTTAATCCTTTGCTACATCCAGACATGTTTAAGTTTGGAGAAAACAAAGGATGCCTCTGAATGTCAAACAATGTCTTTTGGTATCTATTAGTCATGCAGATGGATAGTATGTCTTTTGACAGTCATCTATTGGGATCCTACCTGTTCTGCATTGTTGTATATTGACCAGGGAGTATAAGACCAATTTACAAGACTAGATATGCCAACAATGATCTATCATCATCCATATTTCTATATGGAGCTCCATATACACCACTAAACTCAACAGCACTTAAACTGTATTTGACTTAATACGCTTACTTTTACACTGATCATAGTTTTCTTAAGTGATCATAACTTTTCATTTTACTGTGGTAACATATATGCTATGACCCATGACTTCTCCATCAACATGAGGAAAGCCAGGGAACGAACAAAAGTGCTGAAACTATTGATGAAAGAAGTCATGCACATACCAAAATATCTGCACTGTTCAGCGAGAATAATTACTTACATAAAAGCAACTGAAGATGTGCCAGAAACTTGGTGTTGGTTATATCTTGGGATCACTGAGTCTACAAAACTATGATAAGGCACTTCTTCGCACCAGCAAAATATTTGTAAATCTTGCAAGAAGAAAGCATCTATTCTCATTGCTCTGCAAACCTAAGCGCTTAGAATCTGCTTCATGTCATCAGGCTCAACTTTGGAACCAGTTGGAACCTGGTCAGATGAGACCAACATAGAGCCTTTTGGTTACAAACACCATAGCTGGATTTGGCCCAAAAAGAGAACATGAACAAATGAAGGCCCTGGGAATTTTGTTAGGACACATGGATTCCAAGTTCCAGGATATTTTAGAAGTCATCTGTTGGTTTATATATTGACCAGGGAGTATAAAGTCAATTTACAGGACTTAGCGGTGATGGTGAGATGCTAAAACTAAAGTGTTCAGACATATATCGCTCATAAGCCTTATTCAGGTTGGATTAGTTTATCAGGGGAACGTCTGTAATAAAAGATTTAGACGTCTCCTCAGTGATAAAATTCTTCCATCCAGATGGTATTAAAGTTGCTGGAGGTGAGTCAGTTTCTAGTGGGTTGTATTTTCTACAAACCCAGATGTTTATGTCTCATAGCAGCCATTATAATCGCTCATTCAATCCACATGCTTCTTTCTCCATTTGCTAATGCTCCCCAGTGTAGAGAGAATGGAAATTCTACCACCTAGACCAGGAGTATCAAACTCAACCACAAAAAGGGTCATATTTAAAAATCTCCATGGGCCAAAGAACGCATGTGTTTTTATTTCATTTTTAAATAATGTTGTGCTGTAACCTGTACTGGCCTTTGTCTATTCAAAACACGCAAAAACTTCAACAGTAAAATATAAGCACTTGTAGTAGACCTTGAAATATTGCATTAATACCTATAATATTCAAAATTTAAATGTCCCAGGAGCTTGGTCTGTAAATCTATTTGCTTGAACTAGACACCTGGCATCCTTTCTTTGCTGCACGTTCATTAGGACTTGGGCTCAACTGCTGAGATGCTGAGCTAACGTTAGTTGTAAATGAAGCTAGTGTGTTTGGTGATATGACTGGTGTGGAATTGTGTAGAATTGCGTAGAAGTGAGGTGTAGCTGCTGTCCCATAGACTGCTGTTGGGATAGAAGAGTCAGAGCACATTACGTTGCAGTGCACGCTGGGGACTGTAGTGCAGCGTATTGTGAAACGAACTAATATTAATAAAAAATGTAAATACTTTTGCAGGCCAGATAGGATTATGTCGCGGGCCTCATCTGTTTGAAACATCAGACTTAGACTAAGTAAATGGTTCCTCCAAGTGTCCATCGTTTAGTGATTCAGGAAGATTTTAATATGGATATATGTGCTAGAAGACTAAATACGGCAAGTAGCAGCATTCAAAAACCTTTTTGGTTATCGCAAGGCTACATCTGGGACTAAAATTATTAGAGCACCGCTAAAAACAGTAGGTAATGTAATTACCTACTGTAATTTCCTCATGGGAGGACGGAGAACACCAACAGAGAGAAAATTACCCCAGGGCCCCTCTCCAAATCAGGTTATTGTCAAGCTTTTCAGAAAACTATACCAGTTCCCTGGAAACTAATGGAATGAGCTAGAGTGAGGATTCTGAGAGGTTTTCTGGATTGTCCTCATTATCCTGCATTGTCATTGTTATTTCTACCTCTTCAAACATGTCAAGTAAAGAATCTTGGCAATGGGGGAAGCATTCAGTGGTGCCAATTACTGTGAATGACTTTGTGTCAAAGGTTTCATTGTCATCGCAGAATTCTATCCTGATAAGTTTGTCAAGCTGCTGAGCATAGACCACACTTCATCAACAATGAAATGAATTGTATCCATCCCTTTGTTAACATTAACATCCTCCAACTTTATCGGTAACCTGTCCAGCCTGTCATCTCTGAATTATTTGGAAGCTGTGAAAGCCCCGCTGTGTCCGCCTCACAGCATAAACAGATATGCACATGCATGTACCACAAGCTCTTTTTGGAAACTGTCTGTAGGTGAGAGGAACTTACAGCACATAGCACTTTCGTCACGTCACGTCCAAATGTGCATCGTGTTTAAGCAGCAGCAGCGGCAATCTGCACCGCCTCCCCTGACATTTCAGCTGATACAATCAGCGGTCTTCCGCTGATAGATGGATCTATGTGATAATTAGATTGGCCTGTTTTTTATCTCACGTCGTAATTACCCAGAAATCTAGTGTGTCCATGAGCGATGTGAACAAGCAAAGGGGATGTTTATCAACACAGATCTGACAGGCGCTTCCTTGCACACCGCTACAACTAGTGATTTACCCACTGATCATGGGTCTAACAACCTGTCAGCAACAGCAATTTTAACTCCTACCATCAACATTTTATCTCGTGTTAAGAGTGTTTATATATCTTAAGTCCTAGGAAATGTCAATTTTAAAAGCTCCCAAATTACAGTACTGGACCTACAGAACATTTTGTAACAGATGTGTGTTCTAATTTAACAAATAAGTACTAGAAGACTTTTAAGATACAACCCCTCCTGTGGACTATGTGGTTTAATATTGTAACGGAAGTGGTCTTAGTGGTGTAACTGACTGGTGAAGAGGTGTTGGAGAACACTATGTGTGCACATTTTACATTCAAAAGTAGCTTCATGCAATGATTTGCACTCATTTAGTATAAGCAATATGCTGAGAGTCAACCCATTTAAATTACACTCTTGCCTGTTATTTAAGTGGAAATGAATCTCTATCCACTTTGCAAGGCTTTATTAGCCTGTTACATATGAAAGCCTTTTGCTTACAGGTGATGTGTGTTGGCCGGTCTGGTTTGTCAGTGTAGTAAATGAGACACTTTATGCAGAGGATCCACATTCTACACATTGTTGGCTCCCTCTAATGGAAAAAAAATGCCAGTTTTCTTCATTTGCTTTTACTTTTTGAATTTATATTTGAATTTAAGACCATGAAGGCAAATTCTGTCCATCAATCAAAAAAAAAAGAGTATTTCCTTTACAGGATGAACATTATTTCATTAAACTTTATTTTTTTTTTAAACATGTTTCAGTTCCACTGAATGTAATATATAATGTACATAGCTTTCACTCACTCCTCATTCTGCAAACACAAACTGAATGCTACATATATAACTGTCTAACTTTTAAATGAGAGTTTTTTAAATGAGACATTTCATAAAAGTACATTCTGACATCAAAATAGATATAAGTGCTGTGCAAGGTCAAAGACTGCCTATTCATTTTTTTCTCCCAAATAGCCCTTAAGTATCAGTCGTGCATTTTAAGATTCAGGAAAAAAAGAAAACATATATTTAATTTTTCCAGTATGTACGATGGCCCTTTGCATTTATTAGCACTTTCATTTGTCCACACCTCCAAAGTTCAGTCCAAAAAGTTGCATTTTCTGCTTCTGTCAATCCAAGTAATTATAAACACATTCAGTGATGTTGAGGCCTGAACTCTCAGGTTGGTAACTCTATCATTCTGAGATTTGAAAATGTCCTTCATTCTGGGGCCATAGAGCTGAGTTGTCTTCTCACAGTGAAAGGATGGACTGTGGAGTGTCGTTTGATTTTCTCCTCTTGTGAGCTTTAAGTGCTGTTTATCTGATGGGGACAGTTCTGGTGGTCTACCATGGTTTGCATGATTGTTAAGCGTCCAGTTTTATCTAACTATTTTAATAATGTTTTGAACTCTGAAGTTTTGGAAACTCCTGTTTTTCCACTTATTTTCCTTTAACTTTCCTCCCGCCTGATGCAAGTGAAGGTCTAATCTTGTCAGTAATGTCTGTTAAAAGAGAAATAACTTTTACTTAATGGCTGTTTTGACAGCCAATGAAAGGTGATCTATGACTTTTACTTGATAATGTACATAAAAAGCAATAAAATAAAGTGCAGTAAAATAGCAGTAAAATAAACGGCATGCTAAGCTCAAGTTTATTGCACTACTGAGGGTATCAGAAGCGATACACTTACTAAAATATCTCCCCTATTAATTAAGAATACTTAAGTATGTAAAAAAACAACTAAAGCTTTGCTGAACCTGCATGGCATAGGATGCATGTGAAATTTGAGCGACAAAGGGTCACTCTTAGGGGATTGTATTGAGGTTGGTTCCGTGCTGGGGTCACTGGTAATAAGACACCAGCAAACTATGTGTAAGGCATGCTGACCTAAAGTTTATTGTACTACTGTGAGCTTAGTCCTGAGGTTTCATCTTGGTGCTGTGTTTCTTTTGGCCAGTGGTCTTAATGGTCTGAATACCACCACAAAGAAATATGGAATGAGAGCAATCTTGGAATGGTTTTCTAGCGGAAGCTGTTGGTGGAGCTCTGTGTGCTCTCCTCAACATAGGTACAGTTCATCTGGGGACAGCCAACAACTTTAGGACAATAGGTGAGCCTTTTGACGAGTCTTCGCGTGAAGAGTTTCAGCATCTCCCGCAGTGCCGAAGAGGAGAAGTAAAAGATAAAGGGGTCCATACAGGCGTTAAAGGTGCTGGTGAGCAGTGCGTACACTCTCCAGTCGGGATCGTACCACAAAATGAAACCCACCAAGTGGGAAACGCTGAAGGGCATGAAACAGACGATGAAGACGAGAAGAGTGCCAAGAGCGAGCCCGATCGCCCTGAAACGCTTCTTGGGACTGATATTAGGTAGTCGGGAGAGGATGAGGATGAAGTTGATGTAGCAGAAGCAGCAGATGATGAAAGGGACGCAGAAAAAAACCACAAACAGCTCCAGACGGACAGGCAAAAGGACCTTCAACTGTTCAGCACTGAAATCCACATAGCAGGTGTTCCGTTGCGAGAGAGCAACCACAGTACTGTTGGTGCGATCATAATACTGTGTGATGAAGATAATACTGCAGTGCGCCATAGAAATCACCGCGAACATGATGCTAGCTATCATGGCATTGCGGGGATGACGTTTGACTTTGTACCTGATGGGGAAGGCCACTCCGAGGTAGCGTTCCACGCTGATAGCCGTCAAGAGAAAAGCACTGTTGTAAATAGTGGCGAAGAAGAAGAAAATTGATAGTGTGCAGAAGAAGTAGCTCCTTTTCCATTCCCTTTCTACCGCCTCTTGAATGCGAAAGGGGAGGAAGAAGAGGAAGATCAGGTCTGAGATGGTGAGACTGAGGAGGAGCACATCAATGGGTTTGGCGTTCTGTCGTACTTTTCGAGCAAAGGTGTAGAAGGCCAGCAGGTTGGCAGGAAGGCCTGTAATCAGCGTGAAGCCATACACTACCAGGACCAGGATGCTCATTTGATTCGTCCACTCCATGGTGCTGTTTGTACGTGAATCAATCTGTAGAAACAAAAAAATGCATTGCATGGATATTGATAAAATAAAACGGTAGATTTCTTCATCAGGTTTCTTTGTATAGGTTATGGTTTTTTTTTTTTTCAATGAATTGACGGAACTTTTTTCTTGATTATGATGGTGTCATTCACTTTAATACATCTGATACTGTGCAACTTGCTGTGAAACTCACCTGCTCAGAACCTGGTTTACTTACAATACTATGTCAGAAAAAAGACAGTTACTGTTCCAGATTTCAAGTTCTAAAATGTGCTATTCGGTCATTCAGCATGCATATCCATGCTAAACAGATTGCAAAAAAAACATGCTTTGGAAGAGATTCCTCACAGCTTACTTCGTCTAGGTGATGGATGGGTCTCTATGCTCTCTCCACCGGGACGGCATTATAACAGGAGGAGCAAGAAAATAGTAAGAAAAGTGAGATCCCACAGGCTAATTAAAGGGGCAGTGATAATGACAGCTGCTTTGCGGCTTTGCGTTATATTCACACACGCATAACATCAGCTTTTACTTTCCTAGTTTTCATATGACTACATGTGATGCAAATATCCAGGTTCTTAGAAAATGCAACCCACTAGAAACTAGTTCATCCTACAGATATTTCATTGCCATCCAGATGCAGATTTTTCTCACTAAGATATTTTAACTGAAATCATAAAAAAGAATGCTTTGGTAAATTATATAACTATATATATATATACATATATATATATAATATATATATATATATATATATATATATATATATACATATATATATATATATAGGCCAGCCTATAAGACTCTTTATTACTTACTGAATGACAAGTCCCTGAATGACATCCCTGTTTCACACATTTCTTGTTACAGTTGGTAGCATTTATACCCTTTATTTTATTAAATAAAGCAATTTTGTCGCCCCCCAGTGTAGGGCTACAGTATAAATAATAAAAGAAACCAGAAAACACATTAATTGAAACATTTAATTGGTCTTACAAAAGCAACAAAAGCTGTAATAACACAAGTGCAATTACTCAATGGAGGGTCCTGTGAGCTCAGGCTGTATCTGTCAGATGGAAGTGTGGAAGTATACCTTGCAGTATCAGTGTTCATTACTCTTCCAAGTGAGAATGCTAGGCAAGGGTACATGACCACCAAGTGCACCAAAATGTAAACTGGTAAAAGTATTTTTATGTGCAGTTCTCTTTTCTTAAAATGATGACTTTGTTAGGATTTTGCCAAGTTAATATTAGCTAGCTCAGGATCTATACTGCTAGCATTATCACCATGTTTGCTAGCAGCTAGGGTTTTATTTACATCTTTACACTCTTAAAAGAAAGTGTACATTTTACTTGATTTTATACATGATTCTACATATCTGTAGAAATTTGAGTGAGAGTGTGCGAGTACTGAAATCATCTTAGGGTCTGACAGATAGAGTCTGTTGTTATGCTCTTAATGGATAGATGCAACATGAAACCAATAAAGCTATGAAACAAATTCTCCATGAAATTGTACTTATCTGTACATGGGATACAGATTTCATAGCATACTGCATAGCTTTGCACTGTTTAGACAGGAATGTCACTGCTATCAAAATAAGAGTCCTGTATTTTTACTCTTTAAATATAAAATGTTATTTAAAATGTAAAATAAATTATTTTACATGCTCCAAGGACATACAATTCAGGCAAAATAGTTGGCCTATTAAACATTATTTTAGGAACATTAGGCTGGAACTCTTTGGATCATGGATTTTTGGATCATGAAAGGGTTCTATGGTGTTGGATATGGTGCTATATAGAACTTTTTTTGAAAATGGTTCAATATAGATCCAAAAGGGTTCTTCTATTATTACAATTACAATATTATTACCATTATTACATTATTCTATTATTACTTGACATCATAACAATAACAGAACCTTTGAAGAAGAGCTTTTTAAGTGTGTAGGGTAAGACGTCAAGACTGTAAGTGAGGGATAGACGTGAATATATAGCTAGTTAAATTTTAAAAAACAAAAGTTGTTTTTTTATCATTAATGTAGCAAATGTGACAGGAAAAGTATCCCTGCCAAATCCCTGAACTGTGAGCTCTATTTTTGTTGCCAGCCAAAGTGCAAACTAACAGTGTAACGCTGGAGCAATACTAATTTGTTTGGTCGTGTCCATTTGCTATTTAAATGTTCAGTAAAGAACAATACCAGAGATATTTAGGAGAATTTTTAGAATACTTGGTAGGCCAGTAGTGTTTTGAGCTGGTTACTATCAGTACAAACTCACATATATAAGCACAAGAACATTCAGAGGAACTGTGAACATCCAAGTGTTTCTCAAGTGGTGTAACCCTGGTTTGCTGACTATTAATGAGTCTCGTACAGTGGATAGACTTTAGATGAATTTAAAGTTCCACCACATCCTTGTTTCTACACCTTGTGCACATTTTATCAGTTCCACTTACTATATAGGTGCACTTTGTAGTTCTACAATTCCAGACTATAGTTCATCTGTTTCTCTGCACACTTTGTTAGCCCCCTTTCACCCTGTTCTTCAGCGGTCAGGACCACAGGACCACCACAGAGCAGATATTATTTGGGTGGTGGGTCATTCTCAGCACTGCAGTAACACTGACAGGGTAGTGATGTGTCAGTGTGTGCTGCGTTTATGCAAGTGGATCAGACACTCCTTTCTTGTTGGTCCACCTTGTAGATGTGAGCAATCTGCAGCAAATGTGTTGCTGCACAGTTTGTGTTAGTCATCCTCTAGTCCTTCTGACTTTTTAAAAAGCTCAGTGTCACTGATGGACTGAGAATAGTCCACCAACCAGAAATATTCAGCCATCATGCAGGCACTGACAAAGGACTAGCACACAAACTGTGCAGCAACAGATGAGCTATTGTCTCTGACTTTACATCTACAAGGTGCACCAACAACCTGACCATTGAAGAACAGGGTGAAAGGGGGCTAACAAAGTATGCAGAGAAAAAGATTGACTACAGCCTGTAATTATACCACCAAGTGCACCCATATGGCAAGCGGAGCTGATAAAATGGACAATGCATGTAGAAACATGGAAGTGTTTTTATTGTGTATCATTTCTTGAGGCAGAATGACAATTTATATGTTAGTCCAGCTAGAAAAACAATCGGCAGCCAGCTAAGATATCACAAAAAAGAGATATTACCAAATAGTGTAAAGATATGTACTCAAATATGAAATGTGCAAATACTGATAAATGACTTGGCTGAGTTAAATTTCCTGTTTAAATATGTTTTTGTTATTAATTTGTATACATTAATTTGTCTGGTCCGCTTGTTTCTTAGTGTTTGATAGTGAAGTTTGATCAGTCATTTTTGCCACATTGCGGAATTTGCATAACTAGGCTGGATTTGACACAGTGACCTACTTTTAATGTGCGTCTGTTGTGCCCTACGATTGCAAGCTTTACTACACTCAAACTTTGTCGGGTGTAAATATTTCAATTAAATGAATCCTTCAGCATCTACTTCATGCATAACTAAAACTATGCAAATCTCAAGTATATGTGTATGAACACAACTGAAATATAGTCTATGATGCTGTACTAAAATTGATTTTTTCCATAAAAAAAGCTTAGCATGACATTAATAATACATTTAAATCAAGAAATCAATGGTTTATACAGTAAATTTTTGACAGTTACAGATGTAGAAGTGAAGATGTAAAGAGTCTTACCTATAGCCAGTCTGGGATGCTACTGGCTTAGATCTGATCACACTCACGCATTTTACTAATGCTGCAGTGACATATATACAAGGGTTCATGAAAGAAAAAAGTCTAGGTTCCCCTTTTCCTTGTCTGATGTTAATGTGCTGAATGCCTTTTAACTGTTTTCTATTCACTTGTGTTAACCAGCTAGTGTACATATACATCACAGTACTGCATTTTATGTAGAATTCATTACAAAAACACAACAGCTGTTTATGGTAATTTCATGCTACAGGACTATGTTAGTAAGATGATTGGCTAATGGAAAATGCTAATGCTACAGCATGTCCTAATAAGGTCATATAAGCTGCGTGTGGTTAGCTGCCTGGTGAAGAGGTGTTAGAGAACCGGATTTGACTGAGAATATAATTAGAACAGCAGTGTCTGAAGTTGTGAAGATGACTTCGTGAAATATGTACATACGTTACATTAGGCCTTGGCTACGTGGTCAGTGCACCTACCAATCTTGCAAAGTTTTTCTGTATTTATTCTCAAACATCCACATTTAAATACAGGATTATGGTCAAACTATTTTTAAACTAGTGTTATTTCGAATTAGACTCCAGTGGTGTGGTGTGGTTTTGAAAAAAACTGGAAGGGCCTTGCCACCTTTCTTCATTCTAACACACTGGCCCAGTGACCAGACTCTACTGCCTGGCCCTTTTCCTCTCTTCAGTAGCGCCCCTGCTGCTGTGCCTCTGGTCTTCCACAGTCTAGCTAAAGAAACCAGTGTTTCTCGAATCATACACAGAACTGTGGATGCATTGATATCACTTTTTGAAGACTGAGTATGTATATGTTTTTCAGTGCTTGCTCATACGGATACTGATACCATAACGAGTCACCCAAAATTTAGCATTTGTCTGTGTAAATGGGTGCAATAAAGCTTAACAATGAAATCATTCAAATCTAGCTGATTTTAAATGACATGGATTAGCTGTGTTAAATTACCTTGTAGTTGCACTGCAGTGGAGAAGAGCAAGTTTTGTTCCAAATCAGAAAAACGCTTCTGTGCAGCTATAAGTAAAGTACATTTTGATCCTCATTGGTTTCTTTCAACAACAGTATCTGTAGCACATCTGAGGCTAATGCATCTGAGGAGCTCTCATTTCAAGTTTTACGTCTTGTTGAAGTCCTTTGTTTGGCTTGTTGAGCTGTAGTTGTATGTGGTCTACAGACCAGTCATACACTGTGCAGTTTCAAGCCTATGATGTATTTTGCGCATACGGTACAAAAATGCTCGGTCCAATTGACATGCTATGTGAAAAGCAGCTCCTTCGGACAGCTCTGTCTACGAACGATTGTCAATTAAGCTGTTTCATTCAAAACACAGAACAAACACTGTGCACTGAAACTACATGGGTGGGATGACACAGTCTCTTTACAGCCTATTTTACAAAGACAATTTAAAAAAAAAAACAACATATTCACATTTACACCTCACTATTCTGTTCAGTCAAACAGAGTAAAGTCAGCACATACAGACTTTGGTACCACAAATATTGACTTTTTCCCTTCTTTTTTGCTTGCCTATGTGTCCACCCGTATTGGGGAGGTGGTTGTGATTGTGTTTATGTGTGTACCAATGTCAGTATCGATGCATCCCTGTCCATAACCATTGTGTATGCAAGTTCCTACATTCTAATGATGCACTAAAACCACTGAATACATGAAATCTTCAAAATAAGATCATGGATTTTCGTGAATTGACGTGCCAATTTCATAACAGCTAGAAGAATCAAAACACATCCAGCAGTAATAGGCCAGCCTGATAATGTGAAAGTACTATTGCATATAATAATAAAACCCTTTAGGGATGTTCACTAAAACTGGTCTTTGCTCTGTTTGAACATGAATGCAACATTACATTGGTGTACATGTGTTGATTTAAATGGATTTAAAATGAGCACCTCAGCTATTAGTATTATCAGCCATGTTTAGTAAAGCCTTGGGTACACTACACAACTTTTAAAGTCTTAACAGGTTATAAAAAGACTTATAAAAAAGGCATCTCACACCATCCGACTGGTTTTTGATGTTTTTTTGGGTGACTGAAATATTGGGGATCACACACTAAATGATTAGGGATCACACACTACTCAACGCTGAACCAAACAGAACTCACTGAACTCACGTGAACTTTTGCGTTCTCCCATTAAGGTGAAGCTGCTGCTGCTGATTTCCCTGCCGTTTGCGCTGACACAGTAAAGAAGCAGCAAGTAAACCTGTTTCAGGCTCATGGATTTAAAAATGTGATTAGTGTGGTATTTTTTAGAGTTTTTAAAATGTACATAAACTCGAGTGTGCCTTAAACTCAGCTCATCATAAAGCTTTGCTCCACACGTGAGTGACTTTTTGCCATTTTTCTTTGCATCAAATTCAATGCTTCTATATATGTTTCTCTATCTTTGTTATAATACAGCACAGAAATATGGTTCATTTCCCGAATGTGTAGAGTCGCCCTTTCTATTCCATCTTATCACGAGATTGTATGTGATTCACATCCGGCGTTATGAAGCCATGAAGAGGGGCTGAGATACCGGCCATCTGTCTCTAACTGTGTGTAATTGGTGGATTTGTGTGCCCGTCTACGTTCTGTGTGAAACTGACCAATGGACACTCAGGAAATCACTAAGGACTGAGCCATCATGCTGGAAACAATTCATTCTTTACTCAGTCCACATCGGAGGCACGTGAAATGGTGTGCAGAGAGTTTATAGCCGTTGAAGATGCTACAGCTACAAAGATAACAGAGCATTTTGATATGAAACATAGGAGTATTATGTTATACACAGGAGCCTTTAAGGGAAATTAAAAAGATATGCAAAAATTGAGAAAATGTCCTTCGACCACAGAGAGTTCCTCGATGGCTAAATGTGCTGTAAACCACAATCGCATGGGTGAAGTAACACAACATAAAGTGTGACATATGAAATCTGCTAGCGCATTAGCATTTCTTTAACTGATTTGGCCCAAAATCCATGGGGCAGGAAAAAAGCTGCCAGTTACAAAAACACTATAAATACAATTGTCACATACTCCCATGTTGGAGTATGTGCTCTTGACACATGGGTTTTGCTTCACCATGTTTCTCCCAGCTCCGCCCATCGCCTGATTCATATCAGGAGGATGTGATAAGTATGGTCACCACTATAGATGGTGTTGTGGTGGGTGAGCGGCCCGGATACTCCTAATTTATTACGCTTAGACATCAGGTCTCCATTCTCCAGTACTCTGAAATTTATTGAAACTAACACACATAAAAATATTTACACTGTTATATCAAACGAGGAAAAGTTTAAAACCAAAGCTGTATATATCTGACCTTTCAGTCAGAATCCGGCAGTCATTTCTCCAAACAGAACTAGTGCAATTCTGCTCAATTAGATCTGAAGCCATGAAGGTCTTTATAAATCACAAAGGAACTAACAGAGCTGGTTCATGAGGAGCCTGGCCACTTCCTATTTCCTTCGTTATATCAAAAACATGACTGCGAAACAGCAGAGGGCGCCCGCAAGCGAGTACTCAATGAATGTGAAGAAATGGAGCTAAACGGCAAAAAACTAATAGTTAAAATAGTTTCTAAACACCCAGAACTTTCCATTAATTTTAGGAAGGAGAAGGATGTATTTCACTAAAAGAGCAAAGAAAATCTACCTGTATGTTTCCTTTTTTCTAAAGCAAATGGGTTTTGGGCAGTACAATGCTAGCGTTACTTTGAGTGCGCTCAAAAATATAACAGTGGTGTTTAAATGTTTTATGCTGTTGTGTGTTCAGAATATGAATACATTCTTTTATCTTAAAAATGTTTAAGCATTTAAAAACTATGGTTTTGCTTAAACGCGCTATGTTAACCCATTTATTTTGGAGTCACTCGGGAGGGCCCTCTAGCGTTTGAGAAACCAGAAGACATTACAAAGTGGTAATTCTTCTCTCTACAAGTTCTCTGGAACAAAATCATCCATTGTCCCCTTTCCCTCTTAAACTGGTAGCGTTTCCTACATTGGATCTGGGTCATACTACTGTTCAGATCCAGGGGTGAAAACAAACAATACGTGTATATATTACATACATACAGACTATAGCCATTTCTCATCATATATACATGTGCACATTCAACACATGAACAGTGATAATCTAGCATTATTTAACATTGTGTTTTCTCTTTTACAGGTACCAGCAACCTGGATCCCACCTCACCTGGATCCCCCTGGTGAGTAGAAGCTTAAATTTATTCCATTGCCACAATAAAAGTCACCTTAATGTTCATGGAGGTAAGAGGTGTACTGCAGTTCTGGTGATGTGTTAGAGTATCCTAACATCATCACACAGGTCAACACGTCCTTAATTCTAGGCCTTTCTACTCCAGTACTACTGTAATACTGGAGCTGTTCAGCATGGATTTATCATAACTGTATTTTCTTTGAACTGAATCACTCATTTTCATGGATTCCTCACAATAAAACTCTCTTGCAAATGTATCCTGCCTCTCCCAGATTATTACAACATCGGTAGGAAACAAGTATTCAGACACTTTTGTTTTTATTATTTTATGTACTTACAGTGCATATATCCACACCACGTTTGCACACATAATATCTTTTGACATTGTGCTTTTATTTATAAAGAAAAAAGTATGTTCATAAATAAAAATAAATAAGTAAAAAATATGTTAGATTAACAGGGGAAAAAGTAGTCAGACACCACAAATTAATAACAGTAGTACTTTGCTGTAAAGCCATTTTAGACAATTTCAGCTTTGAGACCTCTAGAGTAATAAGTAATTCGCTTTTTGCAGCATTGTGGTTCAGTATAGGCCCATAAGTTTTCAAATGAAGTCAAGTCAGGAGATTGGCTAGGCCATGCCAGCAACTACCTGTTTTCGGACCAGTTTTGAGAATCTTTACACTGATCAACAAGCCATGGTCAGAACAGAAAACAGGCAAACAAACTGGTTTCACATTGGCAATGTAGTTAGACAAGGCTGTCCACTATCACCACACCTGTTCAACCTGTATGCAGAACATAAAATGAGAGAAGCAGGGCTGGAGGAAGAATATCAAGGATTTGGAATTGGTGGGAAATTTACATCAATAACCTTCAATATGTGGATGATACAACACTCATAGCAGACAGTGTGGAAGACATGAAG